GACAATCGAGAGAGACAGGTGACATCATAATATAGGTTATTTCCTCCTACCTGTGTACTACCTACACAGGTAATAATTGGTGGAGCTGGGATTTGAACCCAGATCCTGGGACTTCAAAATCCAGTACTTCTTCCACTGTCCCAACCCACTCAAGCTCTGAGAAGGACACGGGCTATGACAACTGCTCACAAAAGTTCTTTTACTTGGGACTTTCAACTGATTGTCCAGTATAATGAACAAGGTCAGGGACTCGGTCTATTACTCAAATTTTAATGAAATTTGACCCCAAACATTTTCATATCCATTTTTAAAAGAAGAACCTTGTTTTCCAGCTTTGAAGGTAACGATCATGTATCCCTTGAGTCTAAACTTCTCCAGGCAAAACAGCCCTACTTTCTTCAGTAGTTCCCTGTGTGGCATGGTTTGGAGACCTCTGACCATCCTCGTTCCCCAATTCTACATGTTCTCCAATTTAATCTCTTTCTGAAAATGAGCTGCCTAGAACCAAACTCGATATTCTAGATTTGGTCTCACCAGGGCAGCATACATAGGACTGTTACTTCTGTCCCTAATGGACACTTCCCTATTAATTCAGTCTGATTAGCTTTTTTTAGCTGTCACGTCACGCTGCTGACTCATACTGAGCTTGTGGTCTACTAAAATCCTCAGAACTTTTTCACATGACCAGCAGTTACCTAGTCAAGACTCAGTGCCTCTGTACTTAACACAGCTGATTTTTTGAACCCAGCCCAATTATACATTCTCCCATTAGATTTCTCCCATCACTCTAGCCTGTCGGAGTCTCTTTGCTTCCTGATTGAATATGTTAAGTGTCTCTTCCTGCTTTGGGTAATCTACAAATTTAATAAAACATGTCATCTACACCCTCATTGGAGAGAAAAATGTTTAACAGAAAAGAGTCAAGCCTAGATTCCTGGGACATCCATCAGGTTGGAATCAATTTATTAATCACCATTTTTTATATCCAGTCTGTCAATTGGTTCTGAATCTATCTAATCTATCTAATCTGGTCCAGAAATGTCATAAACCTGGCCCACAACACTCCTGAGTGAAATGGGAACTGGATTAAAATGTAATTTGGAAATATCTGGCAAAATAAATACAAATGCAATAAAGCATAGATAGTATTACATTTTAAAACTAAGTCAATATACAGCCAGCAGGGATGCCTGTGTACGGATCAGTACCCTTCCCCCCTCCCCTCTCCTTCCCATCCCCCTGCCCACTCCCCATTTCTATTTGAGTTTGACACCACCAATCTAGCCCACATCTCTTTATCATCTCCACAAAGATATCATGAAGTTTATCTCAGCTTTGCCAAAATACAGATGTAATATGTCTATCTCCTTCTCCTGGTCCACTGGTTTCCAATCCTTTGAAAAAGGAAATTGAGTTTAACTTGGAAGGACCAGCTCATGCTAACTTTTACTGATTAACACCTTCCACTTTGCTTTTTCCAGAAATGGTCAAGTCATGTCTCCTCATCGGGCCTCATCTGTCAAATGAGAGGCTTGGACTAGAGGACATCTGAAGTCCTTTCTAGCTCTCTATTTATCTATAATCCTATGGTTTGAAGGGCTGTCATGTGAAAGAGGAAATTAATTTATTCTGTTTTGCCACAGAGGGCAGAATAAGGGTGGAAGCTGCAGCATACCTGTCCTGGGTGTTATGGAAGAGGTGCCTGCCCTGGTATGGGTTGGACTAAATGACCCCCAAGAGCACAGTCCATGCTTCTGGGTTAACTAGGTAAGACCCAGTACAAGAGCACCTGGGGGAGAAAGGTCACTTATCAAAGCCGGCCTGCCTCCCTCCTTGGGCACAGAGTACCCAGTAGGGAGGTGCTTCTCTATTCTGTGGGCCAGTCCATCCCTTGGCAGATGGAAAGAGCAAAACCAGAGTTACGTGAGTGACTCCAAGAGACGCCTTTACTTGTTATTCTTGCCCCAACCCCCAAACGAACAGATTTACCCATTCTCTGGACTTAGGCACCATTTCTCTCAGCCGCCTCCTTCTTTCTCTACCCTTGGAGGCCCCTTTTCCCACTGATGAGTTCTTCTATGAACCTCCATTCGGAGGAAGGCCCAGGCCAACCACCCTTCATATTTGGGACATCACCACTATGCCCCCTGGAGCAGGTACCTCTCCCCCCACCTGTTTTTAAGCTCCATTTTGGTGTCTTCACTATTAGAATGAAAGCAGGGACTGTTCCAGGCAGGGACTGTCTTTATTTTTGCAGATGTGCCCAGCACTTAGTTTAGTACCTAGCACATAATAAACACATATTCAACACTTGTTGACTTGACTTTACCCAAAAGCAAAGCAAGAAGTTGGAACATTATGATTTGAAGGACCCTAAGGAGCTCCCTCTTCCCAAATATAGACATATATATGTATATATGTGTATACATTATATATATGCTATATATGTATGTGTGTGTGTGCGTGCATATATATATATATGTATATTATATATATGTGTGTGTGTGTGTGTGTGTGTGTGTGTGTGTGGATAGATAGATAGATATAGACATAGATATATATCCCATTGATGCCTAAAATTCCTCCATTAGGAATGCATTCCTTTGAATTAAACTTTTTCCTCTCCCTTCTTAAGGGCCTCACTTTAAATACAAATGTCCCCAGGAAGCATAACACCTCAAAATGCTAAGGCTTTAGTGTGAATGAGTGCACCTGATAATTTTAAGATTAAAAAAAGAGAGAGAGAAACCAAGCACTAGGCTAGGAACGGATGGGGCAAGTTAGAGAGAAAGGCAGTGCCAGAAAGTCACCAAAGATAAAATCCTTTGACTGCCTCTACAATCCTTTGATTGTCAGGACCAATAGTGCCTCCAGGACAGATTATATCCTTGGAGTGCCTTGGTTCTGGGGAACACTAGCCAGAAAATAACTGAATGTGAACTCTATCTTCCCTCTGGTGTTTTGCACATAATAAAAGTTCTTCATCACTCATTTTCTTTTCTTTTTTTATTTTGGAGTTGGGGTTAAATGACTTGCCCAGGGTCACACAGTTAGTAAATGTCTGAAGTGGGATTTGAACTCAGGTCTATCCTGACTTCAGGACTGATGCCCTATCTACAATGCCACCTAGCTGTCCCACATTGACTTATTTTAAGGGACACTGTATTCACAATAACCTGTGTGGTACATAGGGCAAGTATTCTCACCCCCATTTCACAGATGAAGAGAGTGATAGAGGCTTTAAGCAACTCTCCCAAATTCACCAAGCCGTTTAAGCACTGCAGCCCGGATTTGCACCCCCATTGCTCAGGACTCCAAGTCTCAAATTCTCTGCTGTACACCACATTGCCTCTCCAGGAAATGAGCCCTGGGCACTCCAGGAAGGGCTGGCTGGGCCAAGTGCTAGGGCCTCAAGTTGTAGATATGTGAGCCTGGCAGTACCCAGGGGAGATGAAAGAGCTAGATATGCCTTAGGTGGACCAACCATTTGGCTGAGATAGCAGATCCTCCAACACCCTTGCTTCCCCCCCCCCAATTGTGGGGAGATCGGTCAAAAGCATCATTTTTCTCAACTGAGTATTTATTGAGAATGAAGTGATTTGAGGGGTTCTAAGAAGCCCTGCCTCATCCCTCCCCCTCAAAAATCTCCAACTGCAGATGCCTAAAAATTCCACAATTAGAAATTCATTCCTTGGTTAAGTATTGCCCTACCCCCAAGGGCCTCTTTTAAGATGCAAGGTCCTGAGTGAGGAATCTCACTTACTTAAATTCATTTCAACAAATATGGATTAAGGCCTCCTGCATACAAGCCACTGTGTTCTGAGCTACAAGGACAAAAATGTTAACAGTCCCAGCTTATATTCGGGGGGAGTACAGCAGTATACAAGTAAGCAAAGACAAAGCAGGTACGAAGTGATTCCAAGACAGAACACTAATGACTGGGGGAGCAGGCCTCGGATTCTAGGAATCGGAGGTGAGAAGAGCACCCAACACAGAAGAGGCAGGTACAGGGAAAAGCTGGTAGACCAGATGGCCCAAAGCAGAGAGGTGGTCTAGAAGGTACATAGGAACCACTGTGGGGAGCATTCTAAAAACCAGGCCATGGGGTTTGTATTTTTTCCAGGAGGTAATAGGGCTAACATTCAGGACATCACCACTTCTCTTCATGCCTCACGTTCTGCCCTCTCTCCCTTTCCCTCAGCCCCTCCTTACTTATCCTGACAACTCCTACTTCCCCAGTCCTTACCCAACAATAAAAAAAAAAAGTCTTCCTTCTCTAGGACTATTCCCTGGGACCCCAGCTCTGCCTCAATTTCCCTAACAAGCACGAGGATTGGGACCTCCCAACCTACTACACTCTTCAACCCTCAGCACTACTTCTCCCATCCCCACCAAAGGTTCTGAGACAAAGCCTTTTATGTCTCACCTTGCCGCTGGCCACCAACTGCCCCTGCCCCTGCCCCGACAGCAAATGTTATGTTATGTGTGTGTTTGGTGGTGGTGGGTTTTTTTTTTCCTTTATGGGAGGGAAGGTAGAAGAGCAAAAGGAAAGACAGATATTGAGGGAGTCAAACAGATGCTTCTGCCTTTCTCTTGGCTAGAGTGGCCAAGTATGGAGACAGGAAGGCATCAAGGTCTTGTTACAGGATCCAGTGGGTTCAGGGATCAACCTTAAATGCATTCCAGTTTGCAATAATTCCAAAGGCACAAGATCTCTCAGAAGTTTACCCAATAAAATTGGATCTATCAAGAGTTAGGGACTGGAAGAATAGGGTAAAGACTGTATAGGATTACACGGTAGGATTACCCTTCCTCCACCCCCATCACCCCTACCCCCAATTGACACAGTGAGAGGGAAACTGAAGTGAAATGACTATTAAATTATTAGTCTTTCCTCATATGCCCAGTTAAATGAGTACCTGATCGTTACCCTTCTATTTAATGGCAAGAGAAAAACCTTGGACAGCCCTCCCTCACTTCCCTTTTCCTATTCATTTCAGGTTCCTGGTCCATCAGTGACTTCATAAAGCATTTCCACCTGGGCACTTCAGTGGCTTCCAGTCAATTCCTCACTCAGAACTATCATGATTTTTAGCTAGACCTACAATCGCCTGGAAAAAGTGTCGAATGACCAGGGACAGAACCAGGCTTGGGCTGCTCCTTTCCAAGCTCTATGTCAAAGGTACCAGCTCTTTGCCCAACCACCTTTTCCCCCTGCAAGGTCATCTCAATCTTGGAGAAGAACTTCAGGCCGTAGCCTCTGGGTTTGGAATCCCTTTCACACTGCACAAAATAAATAAAAATAACATCCTCAATTGCCATCTAGTTTGAACTGTTGGCCTTTGCTCATTCTTCTTCAAAAAATCAGTAAGGAAAAAAATCAGTGAGAGAAGACAGACTTGGAGGTTCTCTCAAAGATAAAGGAGCAAGGGAGTGCTAAGCTGGGGAGCAGGAAATGGAGGTTCTGAATTCTGGCTTTATCATTAACTTGATCTGAGATCTTGAGCAAGTCACTCACCTTTCAAAACTCAGCTTTCTTACCTTTAAAACGAGGGGGTTCAATTAAAGTAGGGGTTCTTGTGTTCTAGACCCCTTTGGCATTGGAGGTAAGCCTTTGTATCTCTTCTCAGAATCACATCTCAAGAGAATTAAAGGTAACACTAAATTTCAATTAGAGGTTCCTGAAAAGAAGTGTATTTTTTCCTCCCCCTTGAAATCTACCCAAGAACACTTTAGGGGTTCGAGGACCCCAGGTTAAGAACTCCTGAAGTAGATGGCTTTCAGTTTGGGCACTGAATGGGTTTCACTTACCTGATTAATCAGTTATACTCTCCCTTCCACTTAACATTCCTCCAAAGGCTTTCCCCTCGGAGTCCCTAAGGCTTAGCTACCCTACAGAGTGTGACTCATAACCTAGAAAAAAAAAAAGTCACTTCAGTTCTCTCCCCCTGCACCTTTTTGGTCTCCCACCACCCCTCCCCCCTTTAGCTCCCATCTTCCCATCCTTGCTTCATTTTTCCTCCAAAAGTTAATAGCCCCCATGGCCACCCCATCCCCACCTTGGCAAAGTCTTATGGCTGATATTAATTACTCTTGTGTGCAATGAGCATTGAAATCATCTGATGAAAGGCACTGCCACAGAACTCAGGATCATTACCTTCTTATAACACCCCACCTTAGCTGAGCAGTAGAAATGGCCCTGACAGACTCCAGCCACCTCCCCCTTCAGCACCCCCAGCATGGCTAGAGCTCACTACACAGGCCTAAAAAAAACCATCCCCAAGGGGCTGCAGAGGACAGGTACCCCAGAACTGGACAGAGTCAGAATCTCTCTTCTGAGGTCCCTTCTGCCTCTGAGGCTGTGTGATTACTGTATCTGAGACCAACCCGGGGGTCGAAGAGGAAATACGAGTGGTAAAATTGGGTCCCACAGCACCCGCCAGCCCGCGATCTGAGTTAAAAAAAGCAAAAGGAAGTGACCGTTTACAATGTCACGGAAGGCAGCCGCAATGGGGACTGTTTTAGTGTGTCAACATCTCCCTACACATCACCCTCTCCCCTCTACTCCTCCCCCCTTCCCCCAGCACCAGGGTGTCATTGGCTGCTTGGGTGAGTGCCTGGAGAAATGAGAGAGGCTAAGCTTCCTAGGGCTGCACCAAATCCAGACACAGACAGATTTCCCTCTGGTGCTCTTCCTTCTTTGTGGTGAGCGTGTTTATTTGGGGGTGGTGTGGATCAGATGTTTATCCTTCAAGGAAATTATTGACTTTCTTGGCTTTTTTTTCTTTGGTTTCTCCCCCCATCCCATTCTCTCTCGTGTTCTGGAGTTTTGTATCAGTTTTAGGAGAAAACTCCTGATCCTGATTTCCACTCCATCCTCAAAGGGAAAAAAAATAGTAATAATAAGAGAAACTGATCTATGCTGTGTATTCTGTGACTGACTAAACCACACCCTTCTGAGGGGCTCCGGGAGAGAAGGGTAGCAAACCTGGGATTTCTGTGGATACCTTTGGAAAGTTTCACCTCAGTCTCAGCTTTCCTACTATAAAGTCCCTTCCCCTAGGCATTCCCTGTATCTTCCTCTTACTGGGAGTAAGAAGATCATAGCTACAAATTGCTTTAAGATCCCCAATAACAGGACTACTGAAAAGAAATATAGGAGAATTACCACTCATGGGGCAGGGATAAGGTGATGATGACCAGCTGGTAGAAGAGTCTGAAACTGCGCTATGTACTGGGAAACGTATATGCACCCGCCTGACTACTTAAAGCAAACCCAGCTCCCTCCACTTAAACCCAGACAGAATGAGTCAGACACTGGGGGAAAGGGATGGTAGGAGCTATGCCAAATCTTCTGCATCTCCCCTCCTCGTCCCAGCCTGACCCTAGGCCCTTTGTGGCCATGGCAGGGACTGCCCAGAAGAGAGCTCTCCCCATCACTGTCTCTCAGGCAGGATCCTGCGCTCTGGCCATATTCTCCAGCTCCTCCTTGGTCTTCTACATGCATCCGATCCTTCCCAGAGAAGAACCACTGCTTCTAGATGCCTGCTCTTTGGGAGGATGGAGACAAAATGTATGGGGAGAGAGAGAGAGAGAGAGAGAGAGAGAGAGAGAGAGAGAGAGAGAGAGAGAGAGAGAGAGAGAGAGAGAGAGAGAGAGAGAGAGAAAGAGAACAAGTCACTTTGGAAAACTTCCATGTAAAAACAATAATAACAATGATGACTCCAGGTACAGAGGGAAGAAGGCCTGGTAATGCATACTAGGGTTCCTCTGAATTTCCAATGAGCTGTCAGCACCACACCTGTTTTTCCTTGCCCTTTGGGGTGGGGTCTGTTCGTGTGTGTGTGTATGTGTGTGTGTGTGTGTGTGTGTGTGTGTGTGTGTGTGTGTGTGCCTGCCCAAGCAGGATTGAGAAGGAAAAGGACTAGGGGTGGGCCTGGGAAGCTGCTGATTGTTGGGAAATAGCACAAGATTCGGAGTCTGAGAAATGGGTTCAAATTCCTGCTCTACTATTTACTGCCTTGTGACTTTGGACAAGTCTATTCATCTCTCTGAAACTTGATTCAATTAGACAATTAAACTGTACCTATTATGGGCAACACACTGCTCAAGGCATTGAAGATACAAAAAACAAAACTGTCCTTGTCCTCAAAGTTAATAATCTACTGGGGGCAGGAGAGGGGGAGGGGATAGGAAAAGGGAGACTGTGTATGAAAACAAGCATGATACATGGAAAGTTTAGGAGGGAGGGAGCACTAATAATTGGGGGGATCAGAGAAGGTTTTGTGGAGGAGACAGCACTTGAACTGAGCCTTCAAGGAAGACTCAGTTTCCTCTTATTAAAGTGGGAGGACTGAAGTAGACATTGTCTAACATCCTTTCCAGCTGTAAATCTTTTGACTCTGGGTTAGCAGAGAGAGGCAGAGATCTCCACCAGATCAAGTCATGGGATTGGGGTAAGAGGCAGAGAGACTTGAGGGCTGTAGATGGACTCCCCCAGCTTCAATGGATTCTACCCAGCATCCCACTCCCCAAGTCAGATGAGGCAATGGAGACTTGGATCTACAAAGATCTACAGTTCCTTAGCAACTAACAAGCAACTCCCTATAAAGACAAAGACCCTTAGCTCAGAATTCTCCCTTCCCCCAGCCCCTCTGGGGTGTGATCCTCGGCTCAGGAGTGGGCTGAGGGGCTGTTTCCCCATCCTTCCCCCTCCCAGGATGAGGAGGGGCTGGCTCCTGGCCCACCTAGGAGGAGCCTGTCCTGGTATTACCTGAAATTACCTAGTCCCCACCGGCAGGCACCTTTCATCCTGGCATCTCAAACAGTCGCTAATTAACTTTCCCATTTACACACCTGCAGGCACAGGCAGGTGAGGTCTCTCTCCCTTCTCTCTTGTCTGTCTCTGTCTCTTACACACACACACACACACACACACACACACACACACACACACACACACACACACACACACCACACACCCCAAATACCACTTCTCTGTCCTACTAGGAGGCTCCTAATCACCATTTTACAAACTAGGAAGCTGAGGCTGAGGTGAGGAACTGACTACTTGACTTCAGGATTGGAAGAAGAATTTCTGGGCTGAGGAATATGAAGATCCCACAATTACTGAACAGCAATGGAGGGGACACAAGCCTGTAGCTATTAAGACACTGATTAGAACACACACACACACACACCCCTCCACCCCCAGGTTTGGTGGTCAGAAGTCCTTTTGTCCCTGAATGCCAGTCACTGGGTCAGAGTTCCTTACAGAATGCCAATGGCCCATTAAGGCATAAGCATTGGGGTGGGGGGAGGGGGAGAAGAGGTGAGTCAATGAGAGAAGAAAGGAACAGGTGAAAAGATAAAGGAGGATGAAAGACTTACTAGAACGGCTCGGTAGAAACAGTCTTGGACTGGAGTCTGGAGTAGGAGTTTTGAATCTATGCTAGCCTGGTGATGCACCATAACCTTGGGTGGGTCCTTTTTCTTCTCTGGGCCTTACTTAATATTCTCATCTCTAAGACCAATTCAGCTGAGCTAAAGGATCTCTACGATCCCTTCCAATTCTAAAATCCTACTGTCCTAAGAGCACCAGCTCCTTTAGCTAGCCAAGAGCTGTGTGATCTCGACCCTCCCTCCACCCCTCTGGGCCTCAGATCGTTTTTCCTTTGTGAAATGAAGGGATTGGTTTCTAATGTCCTTTCCAGCTCTAAGATGGATTCCACGAGATGCACTGGGTGGTAGTGAGGGGTCACTGTGGCATCTTGGTCTTCCACAGCCCACTACCTCCAGAAGCCCACCCTCCCTAGGGGAAGGGGAGAGGGCAGGGTGAAACAGAGACTCATAATGTACACAACATGAAAAAGAATTGAGATCATTTGGCTTAAAAACCTCAGAATAGAAAATCCCACTTAGGAGGCCAGATCATAAGGCATAGTTTGGGAAAAGGAGGTCTATCCCCCTGACACGCTGAAAGAGGAATGGAGAGCTCCAGGGTCCCCCATCTGGACCTCAGTTACCTGGAGCCAGGTTTTTCCTATGGTGAGAGTAAAGGTGAGGAAGAAGAGTTGACCTTTTTTCCTTTCTAGCAATCATCTCACTGAGCAGGGAGCATTAGGTTAAATAAAGGAAGAGGAGTTGGGGCTATTTGCCTGGGATCTGTTGAGCCTTTCAGAAGCTCACATTTCTACTAGACAGACACCCACCTTGTTACACGTGTACTACCTTGTTTAGCTCTACTCATAAAGTGAAAGTGGAAGCCTCAAAGAGAGTAAGTTAGGAGTCTGCATTTCCTTTAGCAGAGATGTGAAACACGCCCA